CGCAGGCAGGCAGGCAGGCAGGCAGCTGAAAAAAAAAACCCCTCTGGGGTCTTTGGGGCCTTCCTGTTCTGTTGTCGCGCAGGCCGGGAGCTCGCGCGCACGCCGCCGGTGATCGCAGGCAGGCAGGCAGGCCAGTATCTCCATTCTTATAATCTGAAAAATCAATAGCTATTATGTACTTTTCCTGTATGAGGCACTGTAGCAAAGCATTTAGGGGCTCTCTCTTCTCAATAATTCTAGGCAGTGGGAATTGTTATAATAGTAATCTCTCCTACACAGATGCAAACTGAGGAAGAAAGAGGTTAAATCATTGGCCCAAGATTCCGTTTCTAAGGGGTGGCAGAGGTCAGAGCCCAACTCTCATCGGCCTGTCCACAGGGCTGGTGATGCAAGCCTCTACTATGCAGCTACTTGGTGTCATATTTTACGGTTTACAGGAATAAGGACCATATTGCCCTTACTCCCTCAGGGAGGCAAAAGCCAACATACCAGAGAGAGATATCACATGTGGAGCAGACTCCTTAGCCTTGCTATCCCAGACAGGAAGTGAGCAGGTGAGACTGTTAAGATGTGGGGACTATGTGTGGCATAAGGAGAATTCTTCATTAAAACAGGATAGACCAAGCTCCCTCTCAGCTCCAACCACTTTTCCTGGAGGTTGGCTGTGTGTGAAAATGCTGAAGAAAAGAGAAGTTCTTTGTCATGGAAATCAGGATTGGGAAGGAAACTGACATTCTTTTAGCACAATATGGTACAGAAGTTTTAGCAATAGGTTAATGTTTGTAGCTCAGAGATGTTACTTTCCCCTTTCTGCTCTTGAGATCTTTATTCTGTGTGTCCATTTAGCATTGGTTCCTCTTTCCTCCTTTCTAACAAAACTGGGTTTTGTTCTATCTCTTCCACATCATACTCAGTGGTGGTGGACTTCCCCCTCAGTTCCAGGAATGAGCTTTATTAGTCTACAGGCAATCCTATTCTCTCTGCCAGTGATGGGTTGAAAATGGTCATTCCCTAATTCTGGCCAATGATGCATGAGCAGAAGTCTTCCATGGTGGGCTGTGGCTCAAGGGCTTTTGAGGGAACATGAATTTGCTTCTAGGAAAGAATCAGAGAAAGCAAAGGACTCCTTCTTTCTGTCCAGCTTGCTGCTCAGAACTGAGGCTGCCAGCTTGATACCAGCCTGAGAAAGATACCAAGGGATGACAGCAGAGCAGAAAGATGAAACTGGTCCTGAATGTCACTGTAGAATGGATGATTCAACCAGCCTTGGATCTGCTCTCCCCCTGGAATTCCTGATATGTGAGATAATCAGTTCCCTATTGTTTAAGCCAGCTTGAGTCAGGGTTTTGCTTCTGCCACCAAAAGCATCCTGACTAATACAAAATTCAAAGCAGAATTTCCTCCCTCCCCTGACCCACCCAACAACTAAACTGACTGCCACCGAAATAATCAACAACACATTGCAGAAGTTGCACACAGGAGAAAGAGGGATTAGGGGTGGGAGAGGTGGGAGAGGTGGATACAGAGATTTGAAGGAAGGAGCTGTGGAGAATGTGGACAGAGGCATAAGAGAAATTGAGTGTGCTCAGACTAGGCGTGGACTCCACATCCATGGGACATTTGGATAACCTAAATCTGCCCCTTTCAAGTGCCTACCATCCTACTACTTACTTTGCATGTGTGGACCATATCTGAACCTTAAATGAAGAGCTAATTGAATGCTTTTCCATAGTTCTATACGGAGCTTCCCTGGTGAACAGCTAGCCATTGTTTTTCATGGCATATCATGGCATTCTTCCATGAAATATGGTCTACTGCTGAGGTTACAGATTGTTGACCCCAGTAGAGTTTCAGAAGGCCAACTAATCCAACACTTTTCCTTTGTGAACAACATCTAAGACCAAGAAGGGGAAGTGGTTTCCCGAAGGAAGCAATGCAGTATAAATTTGTAGGGGAGCCTAGTTGTAGGTCCTCAACTTCCAAGTCAGAACTCTCCCCAGTGTAGCACAATTTCCTCCAAGTGTACACCAAGAAGTTACCAATAGATCTGAGCAATCAGAACACTTTTGAAATAACTTGGGAAATGCTACACTAAACAAGTCATACTAGGGTTGAGGGTGTAGCTCAATTGTAGACCACTTGTCTAGCATGCAGAAGGCCCTGGGTTCAATTCCCAATACTACAAAAAAAAAAATCAATGTTTCTCAAAATTAAAAAAAATTCACTAACAAATATGTTAAGGATTTCTGTATTAGCACAACTTCTCATAGTATTTTTTTCTTCATTTGTTTGTTTGCTAAAAAATGCATGTAAAATTCTAAAATTGAAATATAGGAGATATTCTTTATTAAATTAAGTATAGACCAGGGGACCTGTCTTTCTCTCAGACATCTCAGATAGTATTCTGTAAATTACATATTAGCAAATGCATGGCAACAATCTTCCTCTATAAGAACAGAATGAAGTCAAAATACAAAGAGAGGCTGTCATGACTGAGTGAAAAATGGATGGATGGGTGAATAAATAGAGAGAGAGAAGGAAAGAGAGAAAGAAATAGGGAGAAAAAATGAGAATGGATAGATGGTTAGAGAAAAGCAACATAACTTGAGTTTTTAGCATAAAGCAGATCTGTTACACGTGAGCCAATATTTTAATTCTGATCAGCTAGCTGAAGTTGCATTAATTACTTTTCTCTCATTGCTGAGACAAAATCCCTGACACCTCAAGTTACAGGGAGAAAGGTTTATTTGGCTTACATTTCACAGAGGTTTCAGTCCATAATCTGCAAGCTTCAAGGCACAGTGGCAGAGGGGCAAAGTTCATGGCAACAGAAGCAGCAAAAGTAACAAGAGACTTAAGAGCGTCTTTCTGATCCTTTTGTCTTATGCAGACTAGTAGGGTGGTGCCAAGCCAATCACTCACACAAAGTGGTTTAGTAACCACACATCCTTAATCCTAGCATCACACACTCTAGATTCACCCGCCAATGACCTCGTGAGGCTTTGGGAGGACATCTATACCCAAACCATAATAAGTTATGCCACTTCTATGATAATGCTGCATAAATGATTCCCAAATTTTAGTGACTTCCATAAAAATGTTTATATTGCTCTCAGGTCAACTGGTCCAGGCTAGAACCCAGACTTCTGTTTATGTTCACAACTTCTTCATCGACTTTTGCTCCAGGACCCAGACCAAAGGGAGGAATGCTACTCGGTGTACGTTCCTCTCATGTTGGTAAGAGGAGGTTCCTAAGAGCTGGGGGAAGACCTCAGCTTGAGGTCACATAGCCGCTTCCGGCCACATACCATTAGCCAAAACTGATCGTATTGCCAAAGCCTAATCTTGATGAGGCAAGGAAACCATACGTTATTCATAGGAAAACAAAGAGAACAAAGAAGAAAAGAAGAATCTTGGCTATTTGAGTTCACCAATAATTGGGTCTTCCATGACATGCAACTCAAGAATCTTAAAATTTTCAACCAGCTAGTTTATGTGCAATTCTTGGCAAAGCATTTTTAACCTACAGCATACTTTATAGCAGAACAAAATCGGGTGCTTTGCTAACAATGACTTTTTCTAAGTACCAAAACATTCCTCTCTCATTCACTCACCCTTACCTCTACCATCTCATAAACTAGTGCCTCTCTTTCATGTATTTAAGCCATACTTTTACAATGTGCTGTGGATGAGTAATTCAAGCTATTCCACGATGAAATGGCCCAAGAGACAACTCAACACTGGCAGAGTGGCCATATTTGTATAGCAATGGTTATTTGTTCAATTAATTGAATGTTTCTATTGTAGTCATTGTTTTCTGAAAATGAACTGCATGGAAAGAATGATAAACTAACACTAACAGTGAAAAACATGGGGCTCATAAACTCCAGACATGTGCAACACAAAGGCAAGTCAAGTCATTAGGCTTGCTCTACATTGAGGGTCTTGAGCCTCAAGAGCATTGAATACATATTTAATTATGAAGGAAATAAACAAAATCAAAAAATGTTTCTGAGGCTCCAAAATCATACTCTTGAATATTATTATAAGGCAAATTGTAATTGGGATTCAACTGTATTTTAAAGTCCTCTGAGAATGGCCACCCTTGATGACACCAGACAGGCTATGACTTGAACATGGACTTTCAGGTATATTTTCTAGGACACATATTAAAGCAAAAGAAGGGAATTGCTGCCTATACCCACAAAATAACTAACATGCACATTGTTACCTGCCAATCAGTGAGCACAATTTGAAAATAGCACACTGTAGGGAAGGGTGAAGGGGATGAAGGGAGGGTAAGGGTAGGGGAAAAAACAAGAACCAAGATATATCATATAGTGGTACAAGATCCCAATGATAAATGTAACTGCATTGTTTGCTTTAAATGTAGCAGTAAACTTAATGGGGAAAGAAAGAAAGAAAATAGCACACTGATCTAGATGTGCAATGTGGTTCATTGTTGCATATAGAGACCTAGTTCCAAGTCTCAGTTATGGGACTTTAGGAAAATTACTTACCCTCAGTTTTCCCACCTGTAATGCAGAGAATAATGCTACAGACATGCCACGGTACTGAAAAGTTCAAAAGAAATACTAATTAGCTCTATCTTCTTGCTATTAACCAGGTATAGATTCCACCTATGTCAGTACCTTACAACACTCTATGAGTGGTCATCCAGCTTCTAGAGAAGGTGAGTGGCATACCCACTAGTTGTAGAGCTAGGGTGCACACCCAGGTGACGTGGCTTACTTCACCTCTTGTATCAGGTTTGCAAAGTGTGGCACAGGATGGACTCTCAGGCAATGTGTACATCCCGTCTGTTTGCTTTGGTGAGGATCACTAGCAGCCCAGAAGTTTGTGCCTGTGTGCTTTGGTGGTGCTCCTTAATGGTGCAATTTATTGACTCTGATCCCTTCTATCCCTGTGACCTTTGGCAAATCATCAAGCTCCCTCCATCTCCTCACCTGCTAAAGGAGGCCCAAAATATTGTTCCTCGTGTAATGTCTGGGGAACGTTGTACACCATGCCATGCTATGCCACACTATAAAATGGAGGGATGGACAGGAAGCCACTGCTGTACTGATAGAGTTCTCTGCCAAAGGTCCTACATTCTGAAATGGCTCCCATTTCTAAAATGGTTCCTGCTTACTGAAATGAGCCAGTTCCTCTGTGGAAAAGCAAAACCTAACTTGTTGTTCTACCCTGCTACCCACGTGATCTTCCCCTTCAAATCACCCTTTGTTCTGTTGCCTGCCCAACAACCTGACCAATTCTCAAATCTCAAAATACTCTCCCCACTGCACCACCCTATATAAACCTCTCCCCATTTAGTCTCGCCCTCTCTCTCCATTATTCAGGCAGTCAGGCAACTCCTTCCCTGACAAGTCTTTGCCTGGGGTGCTCCTGTTTCAGCTCATTTTCTTTCATCTACCTCACCATGCCACTGCTCTGCTGGAACATGCGACTCCCTGAAATCCAAAACCCAGAAATGGTAGGGAACTAAAGAAGCAATTTAAAATGAAAGAAGACAATTTATTTGAAGGTGGGGAAGGAGGAAGAGAAAGTTGACAGACAGCTATTCTGAACACTAGGGAGAATTCAAAAGTGAGTATTTTTTCTCTGCAGCTTCTTTTATTTGTCCCTTGTAGGCTTTTGGAATCTGGTTGGCTCCCTGGCTCATCTTTTATCCTAAGCTTGTATTTCTTCCAGCCATGGGGCCTTTCCCTGACCTTTAGTGGAGGGAGAGAGTATGGGTGGGGGCCTTATGGACAAGTAGTTTAGGCTGAAGGATTAAGTGAAGATGGAAATTTGTGATTTTATGTTAATTGAGCTTCCTAGAAACTTTCCTGTCTTGAGTTCTTTGTCTTTGTCTTCCTAATTGCTTGAGTTTAGCTGCCTTTGCCTTTCTAATTCCTCAGAGTCTTGCTGTCTTTGCCCTTCTAATTGTTGGAGTCTGGTTGTGGAGTTCAAAACTGCCTTATTAATTTTTAATAAAGCTCAGTTAGGCCTTCATCCTTTCTTTTCCCTACCTACAGTGTCTCCTGTTCCTACAGTAGTATTTTACAAAATTACTGTGAAGTTCAAAGAGATAACAAGTGCAAAACTCCCTCAAAACTTTAAGTCCCCTGCACATGCTGGACTTGTTTTATGCCCTGAACCAGCCCTCAGTGAGAGCTGGCCTTGCCACAGCATCCCCCTGTTTTCCTGCTAAAGCACAGGCTTATTTTTATGATCCTGTTTTTGCTCAAAACCTGATGGGAAGGTTTCAGGGAAATTACCTGTGTAGCTGGTTTACAAGCCAACCGAGAAAATCAGTTTTGTGCCCTCACACACAGCCTCCGTTTCATTTGGGGGTTCCACAAATGGCGCTCCAGAGCCTGTTCTCCCATCTTATGAGAAGCAGTTCAGAATGAATTATGTCTATTTATAAATATTCAAATCCACCCTCAGAGAGGGAAGATTTGCCTCCTGAAGACTAGTGAAGGAGTCTGACATGAGAGTCTGAAAGCAATATCGTCATTTCTCCACCACATTTTACACAGGTGAAACTCAAACAGTGGCTGTGCCCCTCCTATCAACCGGACTGTGGACAGGGCTTAACCTCCTGATGGTATTAAGCAATCCTCTCTCAGAATCATGGGCTGCAAAAATCTTAGTGGTCATGTTACCTACAGTGTTTTACTCATTTGTTTCCTCCAAGAGGTGTCCTGAAACAAGTTTCCAGAGCTTAAGAAGATATAAAAAGAGAGCATCCTGCCTTCAGAACACACAGTTTAATTAACAAAGCTGACAACGAACACACAAGTACAAGAAAGGCCAGGCATAGGCTCTGATAATGCATGGGATTGTTGGAGAGCCTGGGGAGGGCTGGCCAGGAAGGGGGGGGGGGCTTTTTGTACAAAGGCACCAAAGCTGGATTTGTCAGAGCCAGTTAGAGTTAGAGAGGAGCTCCTCTCTTCTTTTTCTCTTGTTCTGCCCAAGTTTGCTCTACAGAGCTGGTTTCTCCCGTACCCCTTCCCCACTTTTTTGCAAATGGACTTTTGGCTCCATTTTTGGTTTATATCATGTCATTCTTCCAAGGATGCTCTGGAATACTTTTGATGAACGCAATTTCCAAAGACGCCCAGTGACACCTGCTCCTGTTGGTACTGGAGTAGTCGCCCTGCTCTGTAGCTGGCTGGTGCCACTTGCTGTGCTCCAGTCCTGATGGGGTATAGGATGCCCAAGTCTCCTTGTAGGATTTCAGAATTTAAGAGGGAGGGGTTGCTGAACTGGATGAAAGAAAACAGAAAATAAAAAGCGGATTTTCTTTTTTCTTTCTTTCTTTCTTTTTCCTCCTTTTGCTAATCTCTAATTGAAATTCAGAGCTTTCTTCATCCAACAACATACACAACAATCCACAGTAGTGTTGGCAGTGCTTCTACCTACAGGCCTGTCCCCGAAACAAACAATTGATATTTCCATTTTTTAGAAAGATTGCTACAGAACCTCAAAACACTGCTTGCATTCAGCACCACACATATTAGACCTGCCATTGGATCTCAATGTTTAACCCCTCAACTAAGTATACAAATTTCTATCTCACAAATGAGGTGGCTTTTACAGATGAGGGAACTGACTCAAAAGATGAAGTGAGCTGCTTGATGCCTCGCAGCCAATTAGCAGCCGGACAGGGATAGGAGCTCAACCACCTGGTTCGTAAGGCAATGCTGTTAAGTCCTGGGTTGTCCTGCCTTCTAGAGGGGCCTGGGGAGAGCAAAAGGGATGACAATCCCACTGTCCTGGAGGAAGATGATATCTTGGGCAGGAAAAGAAGAGTTAGTGAAGTTGGGAGCTATTGAGGATCCAGAAGGAAGCGGGGAAGGCCCAAGTCAGGACAGTGGCAGGGGTGGGGTAGCAGAGCTCACTTCCTGCAGTATTCCTGCTACTCCCAAAGAACACAAAAAAGATCCTGAGGCCAAACATCATTCACAGGAAAAAAAAAAGTCCGCTTTTTACGACCTCTTATTTGACTTGAGTAGCTGGGAAAGAGTCTTGGATCCCAAGAATTGTCAGTTCAAGGGCCAGGGATTTAGCTCAGTGGTTCACAAGTGCAATGTCCAGAGTTCTATCCCTGGTACCTAAAAAGCAACAACAACAAAAAGAATTGTTAGTTCAGTTCCACACACCTTGGAGGGCCTGGAGATAGGTGTAAAGACAGGGAAGGGACTCCACAGCATGGCCCAAAGATTTTCTCCCTGGATTTCAGGCAGCCTAATCGTGTGGAGCTATCTGCACAGTGCAGGGCAGCTAACATCCATGGGCCCTGCCTGAGTATTAAGTACACTTAGTACAAGGTGACACTGGGAAAAAAGAACCCCCCCATAGTGAAATGAGCATTTCAGTAAGAAGCACTACCACCCAGATTGTATTAGCCAGCTTCCCTATTGCTGGACATATACAGCTTAAAAAGGAGACATTTAATTCAGTTCACATTTTAAGGATTCAGTCCATGGTCATCTGGCTCCAGAGCAGAAACATCATGGAGAAGGACGGGTGTGGTGCAGCAAAGCTGCTTAGTTTATGGTGGCTGGGAAGCAGGGAAAGGAACGGCACCACAGAGGAAGCCAATGAGGACCAGACATAGTCCCCAAGACCATGCCTCCATGACCTACCCAGACACACTCAGAAATGTGCTCCATCAGTCCCTGCTCAGACCCCAAAACTATCGAGTTGACACTACCCCAAACCCCTCGCTGCTTATGAGCCTTATGCTATGGACTAAAGCTAAAATGAAAGGCACTCCTGGATCATTTGTATGAGCCATTCCCATAGTTCTGCAGTAATACAGTTATTAATATCTGAGACTAACCACAGAGTTTTCCCTGGGCCTGCTCACTTCAGTTCCTCTCTGCTGTTATCCACTGTTCCTTCCTCCAACCACACCCTCCTCCTGTACTTATTTGTCTCCCATGCCTCTTAGTGTCTGGCACTTGGTCAGAATTCAGTATGCATTAGCTGTTCTGTACACTGGCTCTGCAAAGCCAAGTCAGCCTCTCTGAAGAGACAAAGGCACACTTCCCGTGCCCACTCTGCTTTCTGTTCACTCCATAAAGTAATCATCATACTATTCTGCAATCTCTCGCTTCCTCACAGAGCACACAGTTCTAGTAGATACCTGAAAGCATGTGTCCAGTGAATAAATAAATAACATTTTAACTTATCCAGGGATCTACATCCTCAACAACCCCACAAGGATGCACTTTGGCCAATATTTAAATTTTCCTGAGAAGAAAACTACACGCAACCCCCCCAACCCTGCCAAAAAATAATTGTCATTTATTGCATGCTTAATCCATATTTGGTGGTGTCTCCTCATTTTAGATCATTGCCTCGCTTACGAGTAAGGGTAAAAGGTTGGGTGGCTGTCCCAAGATCATGGCCAACCAGCAAGGAAGGCAAGGGCTGAATTTTACATAAAGGTCTCTGTTACCTGTGGAGCTTGTCTGGGCCACAGTAATTAAATGCAGCATGAAACAAATCCAAAGTACATATATTAGGGTTTATGGAAAGGAACATATTAGGGTGAGAACTCCCTTTATGAAAGGATTTCAAGATGATAACTTTAAAAAGCACAAGTTTTCTTATGGAGAAAGAAAAAAAAACTTTCCTGGTTGACAAGAATCCTTTTTCTCACTCAGCTTTGAAGA